GTAACGCTGTCAAACCAAATCGCTTGGTGATTACTTAATTCTAATTGGATAGGTATTTTAAGATAAACTGAAGATCGGAATTTTATAGGCTGGCCTTTCAAGGAAGAAAATTTATAGCGGGAGCTCAGAACTGCTTTGCGACGACATGCGAAGTTGCTATTCGGGAGGTGTTTGCGGTACTTGCATATTGTTCGCGACTATTTATTGGCAATTTACTGAAATGTTTTGCATCACTGCGACATACCATTAATAGTTTTTGTCAATGTAACAATTTCTATATTTCTAATATTATATATTTAAAAAATATTACGGCATCCATGAATCTTCATGAGCCGATGACCCTAACTCGATTACGGTACATCCTATGCTAGTATGCGTTATTTACATTCCCACCTCATTGTTTGTACTTCGCGTAGTGGAAGGATGAGAAATATCAGAAACGTAATTAAAGTTGACGGGACAAGTATTGGAGTGTAGTGGAGTTTTTGTAATAAAAACATGTCCATTGTTTATTATATAAATTAGTTACAGCATTCTTACTTAAGATATAAATGTTATGATGGTGTGAACAAGAAAACGATATTTATTAATAAAATATATTGTTTTATGTTTTTCAAGAATTTGATAATATTTTAATGTAAATGCATTATTTTTATTAATACTATATAATAATATATATGTGTTGTTTGTATCAAATATTAAAATTCTTGTGATTAATTTTATTATAGCACTATACAGTTAGTCGTCTTCCAATGAAACACTCAATGAGAGCTTTAAAACATAGCTTTCAACTATAATTTAACTTTTAATCTTTAGTTATGTAGTCATAAACTCTTCAGTGCAGTAACAAGTATGTCACTACCATAAACGAGTTTCAAAGTTGACTTCTTTAGTCTGAAGTATTCGAGTCTTAATGAAAAGAACTCGCTGTGCCCTTAATGTTTTAATTAAACTAATTCTTTGAATTTCATTCGATAAACACTATGTAAAAACCATAAGAGTTGAACGGAAGTCCAAACGATTACCAAATGTGTCTGACACATGAATATGTAGTGTAAGTAAAATTCAATCTTTTTATTTGCGGATAAAATATCCTAAACAAAAACATTCTAAGTAATTTTTGAATTATTCGCTTTGAAAATCTTTTAATATCAGTACGTCATATTGAATTTCGAAACGAGATTAAATTTATTGATAAACTTAACATATCTACATACTGATAACGTTGGAAAGTTTTGTGTGATGAACCATGAAATCGAGTATGGCGATGCTTATTGGATCCGTACTAAGTAAAATGAAATTATTGCTACATTTGTTTATTTTATTTTTTTACATTATATATTGACAAATGATATTGACGACAATATGACATATTTAATTAACGTAATGTATATTATGTCGCTGAACGGATTTTGTTTATTCAAAGGGTTGACCGCCTTTGAAATTCAAACATTTAGCTGTAATTATAATTAATGAGAGATCAACAGAAGGAGCCGTTGACATAATGAAATATGATACACGGCCGCCACCCAAATTTTAGATTTTTTTAAATACGGAGAATAGCTGTATGGTTAGTAAATTTAGTTCCAGCTATCAATGCTTGTTAAATTTTGTTTTGTAATGTACAATTTTTAGTCCTGATAGCTACTTATTTCTATAAAACGTCAGACAATTTAGTGTGATGTAAAAAGTGCCAAAATAAAAAAAATCCTATAAATATTGTAGTTACTTCGTAAGCTGCAAAATGTATGCCAATTAGTTCGTTCATTGGACCGTTACAATTCGTGTAATTAACTATGTTTGGACCCATTTTCACGCTTTTATTTAACTTGCAATTTTTGTATGTACATAAAATACCTAACTATATAGAATCTTAAAAATATTTACTGAGTTATTCTCAATGAATTGAGATTGAAATTTAGTGTGCATATTTAGTTACTATGACAATGCATATAAATCCACTTTAAAATAAATATTATCTCATATTGGGGACGGTTTAAATCGGCAACTGATCTTGTTTAATATCACTACTGTTTATTATTTGTAATTTTAATTGTAGTTATATTTTTTAAAATTTCCTTTGTAAGCGAACTCTTTAAACCTAACTTAGTTTTGTTTATGTAGATCTCTTCGAAATGAGCATTCGTGATACCTAAAAATTAAAAACTATTTAAAACAAAAAAATAAACCTTAGTTATAATATAGAACAAACTGTGAATCAATTCAAAATTATATTAAAAAGTTCTATTCTGTTCTATCTTATTTAATAGGGGTAAGATTTTCAGTTGCTTTATATAGATAATTTCTTTTCCTTGGCAAAGGTTTTATATCTATTGCTCCTTCCAAGAAAAGATGGAGGTAGACAGCGGTCACCATATTTTACCGTAAGGTGGCACCCAGGTCCTATTTTCATCTTTAGTTCAGGACAGCGAAGGCGAAATTAATATTGTAAAGAATCTGAGAGAGCAAAGGATTTAAGTACAGTGTCTTGCTACTTAAATATACTTTTAAATTAAAGCCTATCCAACGTCGTTGTGAAGCTTAAAAGCTCGGGGGTTTGAAAAAAGCCATGATCCACCAAGTTCCATCGCCTTGTTAATTATACTTATTTATTTACATTTCTTAATTACTTATGCCAGGGAGTATTTTATGTTTCAAACAACACCCGCCTTTAATTATCTAGGTTGCTTAAGGTATTCAATATTGGCAAAATCAAAATCTGTTGAGATTGATAAAAAAGATATGTGAACTATTTTGATTTAATTCAACAACTCGTTGTTAAAGAAAATTTTATAAGAAACTAAAAGAATTATCTAAAATTATTACAAAATATCTTATTTAGTTACAAAAATACGTTAAAAATATAATGAAATTAAAAACTGTTCATATTCTTTTTAAAGTTTCATTTACATAACATAGTATATACAATAAATGTTCGTCGTAAAATCCGTGGAAAGGTATGATAATAATTTCAATTATAACATCCAATGAGACTCATTCGACCAATTTCCGTCTAGACGAAGATTATTTAAAAAAATTAAAGCCTTTCAATTCCATTAACGTTCCTCTTCGATTTCGATTCATTTTGCCTCTATTCAAATAGAGAATTTGCTTTGCGTTCTTTGATATGGAATATATGTTTTATTCTGTTACGTGATTTTCGAACAGTTATGCTCGTTATCTTGTCGATTGGTTGTTTTGGTTACTTTATGATGTTAGCGTTTCAACGAGGAGGGAAAAACAAGATCGCATTACTCTTATTGCCTTAATTAGAACGTTGCTTTGCTCTCAAAGAGATGTTTAACATTAATATCTTAGACAAACTCGGCGACTTAATACTCGTACCTAGTAAGAAAAATAGCGATAATAAAAACCATAATAATTAATTACGTACTAAAGCAACAGATGGTATATCCTGTTGATTTGTATTAGAATCTAATGCTTCTTTGTTATTATTAATGACTCTCCCCTAGCGACATATTAACAAAGGACATGTCGCCCAAATGTTCACTAGCCCTGATATTTCATCAATATAAATGAAAACTGCGGAAACTTAATATAAAACGAATAATCTAGTATTGTGCAGGGGACGTTCCGGTATAAATCTCAATCGGGGGAGAGGTTCGCTGGCGGGGGTTGCGACCGGGATGGCGCGGCCGGCCATCTGCTGCGGGATAATCGATATTATTTAGGAAGCTGCCAATATTATTCTATCCAGATTCCCAAGCTCCGAAACATAATCGATTACTTCGTTCGATTCATTTTATAGCACGTGTAATAAACGTTTTGATTGCATTATTAACGTTCTACATATATTTACAACTACTTCGAAATGTTTTGTGAGGAGATTTACGTGAAAATTTATTTTATTAAATTACCCGCTGTAGGTCTCGACAAAATGGAAATAAAATTTAATTTAATAGCATATAAAGAAACAGTTAACTATCTTCATTACCACAATTATTAATAAAAGTGACAAAATATACAAGAGTTATTCAATCATTACTAATAACTTGGCAAAATTAATACAACTAAGTCAGTAGAAGTTTGCTTTACTTAAAATATACGAGTCACTGTTCCGAATAATTGAGATCGCTTTACCTTATTCCCGTTAACTTCCTTAATTGCCTTGAGAGCAAGTTCGGATTGCGTGTAAGCCATGCTTTCTTAGGATACATTTCTTTTTATTAGCTTCTTTATTATTGACAGATGATTAACCAAAAAAACTTATCAAACAGGTTCATAAACTCATTATCATAATATGCTCATTAAAACGGAGCTTCAACAATTTGCCAAAATTTATTAGGTAAAACATATTTAAAATAATATTTCATCTTAGACTGTAAATATTTGTTACTTTTGGCAATAACGTGTGGCAGTATCTTTGGTTTGGTAAGGTTTGTTACAGAAGTGATAAGCAAAATGAAATTGGCAAGCGTAGTATGATTTATAGTGACATAGTTAAGATTGCCTTTTTTAATATAAATGTTGCTTTATTCGAAGTGCTTTTATTTTTTTATCTCTAGATATATATTACAATATATATTATTTGAGAAAAAATCCTCTTAGATTACATTTTAGTATTCTAGTAGGTACGTTAGATGGAAAAAGCATAAAAACAAGGAAACGGTAAAACAATGTAGGTCTCATCGATTTTGCATGATAAAACTTCACTAATCATGCTAACTGGTGTCTGTGACGTGTGAGGTAATTCTTTTATTTGACTCACTTAATATCTTTACGTGTTAACCTGTTAAATGACATCAAATTGTATTAAGTGGTTACCCGCTACATGACTAAACAAAAACTACTATTACGGCCACATATTCAATTTTATTGTTAAAGTGATTTAATTTATATGATAATAATTAATCGGAATGGAAACTTTAGTAATCATGAGGTTTGTGAATGGATAAACATTTAAATGTTTTTGTTCTTTCCCTATTAACAATAAAAAAATGCTGACGTCAAAGACAGCGGTCAGTGAATATTGAGAAGTGATGATCAGGCGATCTGGCCCGCCATTAGATACGTATTTCCCCAATCTTGTGGTGAGATTACTGTCGGTGAATCACGGTCCGGGCCCGGCCGTGCGGGTGCGAGTGACGAGGCGCTGCGCTAGCGCAGCTTGCGTCGCACCAACATTCCACGCGATCGTTGCCTCCACACATTCGCAAACTGATGCAATATTCAACTTTACTTCGTCCTTACAATGCCGTAATTCGTTATAACAAGTTTAATCGCCAACGTTTCGTCTTTATCTTTTTCTCAATTACAGGTTCTACATATCTGGACTCAAGGACATTTTGGCGCCCTTAATTATTGTTAGTCTGGATATGACAGACGTTGCTTTTAAAAGCGGGGTTGCGATGACAGAACGAGTTCGGTATTAGGTTTTTGCTTGTTCGCTATGTGGATTATGTATTACGAACAAAAACTTGGATCTTTATGTGTAGTAAAACATTACAGAGTTAAACAAATAAAGAGGCGAGAGTCTGACATGTTGAGTGGCAAATTGGCGTCTTCTCTGTATTTGTTCCAAGCCGCCGCGTCGCTGGTCGGTCATCGGTCGGAACACGCCACACTAGCCGATCACACCACACAGCCTTGCGACTTCTTATTTATCATTGTGGATGTCAATGTCGTTCGCTCCCCGATCTTTGATAACCGAACTAAACTTCTATTAATTGATTTAAATTACACTTTGCTTATCTTATCTCATGTCGGTTAACCTGCCTCAAACGTGTTTCAACGTTGATATATTTTAACTTCAGAATAGAAAATATTTGTATTTGATTGTTGAAGATATACTAGAGTAGTCTCCTGAAATTATTGTTTCACTGTTATTTGCACAAGCTCTTCGCTGTAGGTGATTATATATTATTTGTTAAGCTCATGGTCACGATCAAGATCACGTTTTATCGTCTGTAAAAAATCTAAGTTGCATACTAATAAAATGTATACGGTTCGATAACTGATAGCCTCCAAACGTGACCAAATGTTATTAGTCAATAACTTACCTCAGAAATCAGGTAAAATGTGAAATGCATAATTTTCATTTAAAACAGTAATAAGGTACAAGCGAATTATTCAACACAAGAAAACTGCATGTACGTGATAAAAAGCTTAGGGTCGCTGTAAACTGCAACTGAGTATATTAATAAAATATGTTAGGACCTTGGAACATATAATATTTTGTTCACAAAGACTCCTTAGCTAATTTCGCAAAAAAATGGCAGGATGTGGAGTCAGAGGCGTGTCGAGTAGCGCGGCGGATAGGGAGGAGGAGAAGGGTAGAGGGGGAGTTGGTTCGCGGGGAGGGGAGGGGGTGAGGTGAGGCTGCTGCGAGTGTCCGCTGCTGTCGGCCGGACTAACCCGTCGCTCCAGGTCAGCGATCCAGCCGGCTATTTATAGAGGTGCCCCTTAAACAGAGTAATTATTCATTGATTAGCACTGCAAGGAATAGGGGATTGCGTTTCTGATAGCTATCGCGCAAACGAGTATCGCAGCTCTGCGAGTCTTCAACTACACCCGTTCAAGAATGTTTGCTTACACTGCGTCTGCAAAAATTTTGATTTATCTAAATTTGATGGAACGTAAGAATTTTTCGACTATATTTATCTACTGAGAAAATGCAGTTATTTATGTTCAACAAGAAATATATCGTGGAACGTGTTTCATCTCACGTAGCCCGTATTTTAGTTGAAACTACCATCCAGTTTATTGTTAAATCTTTTAGATTTTCGTAAGCATAAATAGAAAAATTTATGAAAAATATTTCTGTCTTAGATTAATTATAAATTATTTTACGAATTTCTGAAAAGTATATTTTATATTAATTATAGATAGATTTATTAATCATTGTATATAAGCATTATGTTGAATGATAGCAAATAAAAATATTTTTTGATCTCGAAAAGGCTTACCAAAAATAAAAAAAACCATTAATTGTTATTAATGTATGAGATTAAATATATATAGAAACATATTTTAAAATAACTTTTGATAACAGGCTATTTGACATTGTAAACAGACAAATATAAGGGACAAAACGTCTCGTTTATTTTTGTTCAATCCATTAAGATTAGCAGCCGGGGTTTGTAAATGCATTTAGAAATAGAATTTAGTTTGCTGTGGCGCTTTTTAATAAAATTTGTTTATTATATATTTGGCAATATAATATTTTAAAATACGATAACTATATATTTACAACACTTTAATACTTAGTGTGTAAATGAAAGCGTTTAATTAACAGTTAAATAATCCGAACTAAATTTGGTTAGCTTTAAAATACCAAAAAAAAGGAATTCATTAAATATTTTTCGACCGGAAATAAGAATACCCGTTATAATTTTAATGGTCATTTAATCTTAATGACTTATAAAAAGGTTGACGTTCAGTTAAATATTTCGTTAGGATTATATTAGTGTAGAAAAAATAATTACACATTTGACGCTATATTTAAATAAAGGCTATAGTTCAAAAACCTATCACGTTTTATCGTTGAGTTAGCCCGCGATTCCCAGACTTGACCGGTTTCCGATCGGGAAATTCGTGGAAGGCTCAAAAGAACCCGAGCACTTGATACTTTTTATATTTCGAATATCATTTTAAAGTGCTTTCAGGAAATTTACCTTGTAAATTAAAAATTCGTTCCGTAACCTTTTATTTTCCCTGCTGAGTCACTACGATCCTTGACCAGTTTGTGTGCTAAACACTAGAGCGTTCTACTTAAAAAGCCGGGAACTTACCGTTAATTCATAGAGCTCAGATCATATTATAACAAGATCTTATATTTTGCAAGTCAATATATTGATATTAATAGCTGTTAAAGGGAGTTCCGCTGGGTGTAGGTATTTCGTTGGGCGGGTGTACGCGTGGGGTCGACAAAATCAATAGTCCGTACCTATGAATAGCTACCACTACATTCGTGAAATCTGCACACATTGCAATTCTTTATTTGGCTTATATCCGATCTCGTTCACCCAAAGTTATTGTCTTTTGAGCAGGTGCCGCTTTCAACGAATTTTAGGTAACCCTTAAGAGTATTGACGGACGAAAATTGCATATTTATATTCTGATCTTCTTGTTTCTAGGGACTTTATGTTGCGAGGGTACGAGGGTGGTTTTATTTATTATGATTTATCAAGTTATATCCTTGAATGATAAAATATTTGTTAAATATATCTGTATTGTTTTGATATGACTCCAAAAAAAAAACTGATATACAGTTATGAATAATGAGCTTATACTATTGTTGTGACCGGAATAATTTGGTTGCTATCTCCAGATCTAAAAGAATTATTACCTAGGTTGTTATCTTCGTACGTAATGATAGATCATACGGACCTCTTCAGAACAAGACCGGCTCGTCCCACTCGGACAATATCCTGTAGTAATTGATAATATTTACTAAAAGCATCCAACAACAACGAACGTTCCGATAACAATCAATCATGTACCAGCTACAGTTAAGTCTTAAAAAATTGTGTCACATTGCGGATGACAGAAAATAGCCTAATAATAAATTAACATAGTAATGCTTCTAGCCGTTATATAAGAATTGAGAGCACTAATTAATAAACACATTTAACTGAGATAAATATGAAGCGGGTTCTGTACACTCATTCAAGTTTATAGAATGTGCTAAAGAATCACATAATCAGTCAGAAGTGGAAGTACAAATAATGAAGTTGCCGCTTAGAATAGGATTAAACATTTTCCATTTTCCTATATAGTAAAACATTGATAAACAAATAAGTGAGCAGTGTTAGCGGAAGCAAAACTCCGTCGAGACTCGTTTGCGGCACTCTAAAAACTCAAAAATGCGGCGCCTGGCAGTGTCACTGGCCTTAGTTGACCACGTCGAGTCGTAAACATTGAAAAAATAATTAAAATGTTCGCGTTGTAATATATTAAAATTAGGTATTCATTTCATGGGCAACTTAATTGATGATTGCAACATATTTATTACTATCACAAATTGAACTAATTGATTGATGTACAGTTATGGCTTACTGGCTTTTTTAAAAAGTTCATAAACTCAAGCAAAGTTGCTAGTTTTAATAATCATTAACGTATATTAAAATGTTGCGTTTATAATTTATAAAGCACTTAATAGTTATAATGTTTTAAATTTGTTACCAAATAAAATTCCCAAAATTTTAATTGAAACCAAATATTCAAAGTTGTACGTATATCGTTTTAATACTTATTTGTTTTTAGGTTATTTTAGCTTAGATATTATTAGTAAAGTTTGTATCTAGTTCCATAAGCAACTTAATTAAAAGCAAACTGAATTTTTTCAGAGTTGCAGGATACTTCATATGAAAACGTATTCTGTTTCAATCATCGTTATAAAGTAAAAGTAGCGTAAACACACTCTGGAAAGTATTACGAGTCTCAATAACATAAAAATGATGGATGATAATATAAAGTACAGAAATTACTTTACATATTACGATGTTTACTTAGTAGCAGCTTGTTTTTCAACCTTTAAATTTTCAGAGGACGTAACATTTTTTGTTTTAATAACATCTTTCTAGATATTCTAGTACATTTAATTTTTTTAATATGTATTGTATTGAACATTTTCTTATAAACTTAATAGAAGCTAGTTCATTTCAGTTTCTTCATCTATAATAGCAGTCACTGAAATCAGTACTTCTACTTCGACGATATTAAGCCTCATGTACGTACGTCTTAGTTCTGATTAACAAAAAGTAAATCTTTTTGGTCGATGTTGAATATTTTATTTGTTATATTGCATATGACACTTTTATTCTCTAATATTTTACATTAACCCTGCGGTTGATGGGGATCAGTTATGTTAGCAATTACTGTCAACTGACATCGGTATTGTCAGAGGCACTGGTGCTTTGTCTAATTAAATTTAGATTGCTCGCTGACAAATGTCTGTGTGGTTAACGCTTTGGTGACTTTGTTTGTGTTATGATTGATATTTGATATTAATATAGATATTAATCACTTTTTATGTATATCAATTCAATTTTTATGTATATACAGAATCATTCTAACATTAAATTAACATAGCTCTTAACAGTTATATAGAATATAACTCAATGATGGACTTTCTAAAAAATTAATATCTAACGGCAACAATCAATAAGCTACCTAATTTTATAAATATTTAGATATCTCCATTATGTCTTTATAAGTTATTTATTAATTATACGAGATAAAATATAATTCTTATATATGAGTTATTATTCTTATTAATTCATTTTGAATACTAGAATATTATTCTGTTGATATATTTTACGGTTTTTTCTTATGTATTACAATGTAAGAACAAAGAATCATTACAATTGACTATAAAGCACAACTTTAACACCTCCACAAATTCTATAAGTTTGTAACTCAATGAACATTTATTACGACTTTTCTATTATCTGCCTCAAAACATAATTTTACATCTTCAGTAAGTGCTTTTTCTGAAAAATTGCACCTACAAATTACTACATAATTAGTGTTTTATTATTGCATACTATGCTAGGATATGTTTTTAATGTATTAGTCGTGAATTTATTGCCGTTAGAGAATAAATCAACACATAATATTCGAATCGAATACATAAATAATGATCACTTTTTTTAATGACAAATATATAAAAAACTTTTTATATTAGTATACTTTTAGTTTATTTTAAAGTTTATGTTTTCTTAATTATTATTATAGAAATGTTATTAATGTTGAACCAAAAATTATTAACATAATATACTGCTTTTTTTGTATACTTACATTCTCCTATGTACCTCTATAAGAGAATGTCATTATTTTATGGAATTAATTTATTGTATGACAATGTATTTTAAATTTTTATAAAAATATTGAGTCGCAATCAGATGCGATTGATTTTTTTGTCCATGAACAGATTTTAGTTACATTAAGGAAATTCGAATATGACACGTAATATAAATGATAAAACCAAAAATGTAGATTCCAAATCAAAATATGTTTCTTTTTTTTCTATGGTATAATTTAATGGGGACTGGCAAGAAAATTTTATAAGTACATTCTTTTAAAAACTGATTTTTTTACAAATATCTGACGAATTTATTAGAAACAAACTGACTGTTAAAATACATAGCAATTGCTTTTTTTTATCGAAGGAATCAGAAAAGTGTTTTCACATGCATTTGCGACTCTGCCAAAGATTAGTCTGAAGAACCTCCAAAATATAATATTTGACACGCACATGCAATATATACAATAACTTTATTCTTTTACTGTTGTTATCATTTAAAAACAAGTTGTTTTTGTTCGGGGAGTGATTTTATTTAATAATTCGTAAGTTGTAGTTGTCAATAAATAACTTTTAAACGCAAAAAGTCTTCTTCTTCTACCTGGCAATTTACCAGAATAAGCCAGGGTCTGCCTTATATGTTGTGATTGTTTTGGCTATTTTTTTTACGACCGGCCGCCTCCCTGACATCAGCCCTCTTTGGGAATCAGCATTAATCAGTGATGTCTAAATACTCTTAGAAAGTACATATGACTCGTAAAAATCACATTGGTACTTGCCCGGGCCAGGATCGAACCCGCGCCCTCGTGCATGAGAGGCGGGCCTTTTAACCACTAGGCCACCACTGATTTTAAACGCAAAAAATATTACTAAACAAAGACGTTTTATATGTATTTGTGACAGGTTATGTTTCTATGAACTCAAAAGTAAAAAGCTGCGAACTTGTTTTTGATTTTCGAACATAAAATTGACACAGCATCACACCAAGCTTGTGATGGGGTTAAATTTTTCAATAATTTATTAATAATTAGGAGATGATTTTATAAATACTACAGTGACAAAACAGTCGTTATAATATACAACAAGTAGTCTGAAGAAGCATAAAGTCATAAGTAATATTAAAATTGAAAATTAAATTTGCCCTTTATTTAGTATTGGTCTAAATCTAAAAAGATATTATGAATATAAATTTCTGACTTTGAACTAATTATAATACAAAGTCCACGATAAGGTATGTAGGAGGCAGAAGAGTGCTTGCATAAACATAACTGTAATAATATTGCAGTTAACTGAAATTACGCCGAAGAAGATTACTTTGTAAAGAAAACTTTATAGGAGATGTTAAATAAGATGAACCGAGAGTAGTATACCGAAGCCTTAATTAGAAGTTACAAAACAATATACGGATTTATCGTCTTAAATCTAGCAACTCCATTAAAAACCGTTTATTTAATAGACATTAATATAAAGTGGGAAGTTCGCATCATACAGGTGCAATAAAGATGATGCACATTTTAAAAATCCCCACTAAATGTTTTAATATCCAGTACATATAAACATTTGAACCTTTTATACATTTCAAACGATTTATTTAACCTGTCAAACAAATTCATGTTATACATATAAATTATCGTATAGAGCATACGTAATAGATCTTCGCAATTTTATTCATGTCTATTTCCTTCTAAGTATTAATTATATTTGAATAAACAAAACTTTCAAGAATGGCAAACGGCGTGGTGGTAAGTGGTTGGTATTCAGGAGACATTCATTACTTACTCGTAATAGAGTCCCCGGAGCGTGGCTGACACTGGCAGGCATGTCTCTACGTACGTCTATCTGCGTTTTAATGACGGATAATATTACGTCATCATTTTATAGAGAATTGATAGATGTTTTTAAAACATACATTCTTCATATTATAATAGATATTCTAAATAATTTATTCGTACTTATGTAAGAAGAGTAATGACTTTTTAAATTAAACATAAAATTATATATGTATAAAAGAATAGGATAAATGGTTTGGAAAATTCAATGTTTTACCTTTAACGCAACAGATTTATTAACTGGAAATCTATTTTACATTGACATACATTTAATTAGAAAAATAGAACCCGATCATAGTATGTGACGGCGAACTTTCAATTAGTTTTGTTTAAGTCAAACCAACAGCATATTCTGTTATACATAATAGTAAATATATTTGAGATATTCAACTTAGTTTTTCTCAAGAATTTAATTCATGTGTAACTTATCCAGGTAAAAGTCTCAATGTTTATGTTTATATAAAATTTATTGAATACAACACAAGTATCTTGTTTCATATCAACAAAATATTTATTACTGATGATATACAAGTAAAGACCATAAAACCATTTATCAATAACCCGGCTTTGGCTGTGTAGTATTTCTGTCTCATGTATACTTACCAAGAGTGGATAACACTAGTCTGTTTCGCGTAGGTTTTCTATGCAATTCAATGTGCGTTTACTGGTCAAGCCAGTCACCAGAGCTTTAGCAAACTTAGCTGTAAACACCTATATGGCAACATCATTGCCTTGTATCTGAACCGGAAATTGAAAGTCTCGAGTACTTTTCATGATATGTTAATTATGTATTAGCTAATAATCGAGTAGAATGTATGAGAGGTATCGGTATTGTGCCTTTTACGTCCGTCTATTCACAATATTCCCTGCAAGTATACGGAAGTCGTGACAACGCTTAGGCAGCTTTTGCTAATTGGCTGTAACTGATAGATAAGCAATAAAATCGATCGGGAGGACACCGGCTGCATCTCCAATTTATGTCGATGTGGATTCGCGATGCGTCGTGGTCCGGCGCCGGCCCCCGCCACCGGGCTTCATATTTATACGCTAAAGCAGGCAGTGCGCAGAGTTCAAACGCGCGACGGGCGCTCGGGACGGTAGTCGATAGAAGATTCAAGTTAGTAGACAGACGAGGGCGAGTGCAGTGTGCAGTGCGTGCGTTCGTGATCGCTGAAAGCTCGCAGCGAAGCCTCCGAAAGGCGTCGAGCGAGCGCCGCTCCGCGTCAGTGCCGGCCCGGCCGTGCCGTAAGCATCACGCTCGCAACATCACTAACAGTTTACTACTGGACAGTGACACACGACCAACAACCGTACCCATACGCGGCCCGCCTTCACTACTGAAGCGGAATTTCCTTTGCATCTACAAGTGAGGTGAGCTCTTCATATTTAATATCTTTATTAATTTTCTTCTTTTATTTTGTTTAACAATTTATATTCTTTTAATATTTAATATTTAACTCTATTTTAATTAACTGAATACCTTCAAATTATTACTTTTAAGTTAGGTATTAATTGTTCAATTTATTTAGTTCGGTTTAATTTAATTAATTTATAATAACTGACTTTGAGGTTTACAAGTATAATTGATTAATTCTAAAAACCTAACATTTATCGGAAAATTGAATTAATAAATCATAAATATGGACAATATCGTTATCGGATATTTTTTGATTAACAAGAAATGGAAGTAGCGATGGGCAAAAATTAATTTAAGGAAAATTTGTTTTTGAATAACGGTTCTTAAGCAAATAATTTAAATTTGATTATTTCTTTTTATTAGTCAATGCAGTGTAAAGGGTATTTTATTATTATAATGAACAAAAAAAAAGTTTTAAGGAAGAAAAAACTTATCATTTCCAAAAAAATATATTTTCATATGTTTCTTGTAAACCTCTTTAATTCAGCACTTTTAAGAGCTTAATATTTTTTTTATAAAATATTGAGAGCTGTTGATAGTAATCACCCTACAACGTGGAACAACAAGCTTCAGAGAGCTCTTGAAGTAATTTATACGGAACCGTACTTATAATTGTTATGTTGAATATTTGCTTATTACACCCGACGACCGCGTGCCGACATCGAGCGTGACGGATCCGATATTTCACAGTCACCACCTAATCATCTCAAATTGTACCTAAGTTTTTATACAAAGAAAATAAAAGAAGCGTTTTAATTAAACAACATAACATTACTTTCATATATTTTTTTCCTCCCATACTTGGGAAAAATGACAAAGTATAACGTCATTAACATTATGTTGACGCTAGTTTTGCATTTGTAATATTATTATCTCTTTTGTAATTTCACACAAGAGCGCGTATCAAATGCCGTCTTGTCACAGTGGTTTTTCATTAATCACATTTTTTTTTGCCCATTACTGTAAAATTTCTGCAACCGTGTAAAAGTTTGGATATCTGAACAAAATTAAAAATTTTTCGCGAAGCCTAGAGTCAATGAGATTATATTCGGTGGTCAGAAATAAACTAAGATAAATGTTTAAATAAATATTATGTATTCAATAGACAAGTATCTTGAATAAGTCTTTTTTTAGACTATAATTATTTTTTACTTAAAAGTTATTATGAACAGTAATAGCCGCTAAAAGAACATTAGCGCCTCATCAATTAACCGTTGTTTTTGCGCCTCGGAGGTGCTATCGAGTATATCAATCAGTAAATTACACGATGTATAATCATCAAACAGATTAAATATGTTTCTAACACATTACATGGTTCAAGAATTTCTTTAAAAACGAAACATAATAAACGAATCCGATAAAAATCTGTTAGATTATGTTGTTTCTTTTTTTGTGTGTTTTTTGGCTAGAGGTACGGAGGTTCGATATTATTAAATGTGGTCTAAAATCTTTGGACACAGCCAGTGCGAAACGACGCTTTCGTCTCGCTTGATTGCGCAAAGCTCGGCACTGCAGCGAGTTCAAGTGCGGGGTGAAGGTTCCATTGTTGCCCTTCACTGGTGCTTACCAGCCCTTACCCTAAGATAACTTTAGGGTGCGTTCATGTTTGTATGATCCCGAGTTTATATAGAATTAAATAAATATAAAATAATTCATACTAAGTTTTTAATGAAGCCTGTAATTGGTTAAGTTAAAAATAGTTAGGATATTTACTATTACATGTGTATTTTATTTTACAGGTGCAATCACCATATATAATTGAAATATGTTATGCAAATTATACGGTTAGTCACAACGCAATCTATTTAACGGTGAAATTTTTATAATATATTATTTGCGTGTTTATTTTAAACATATTGATGTAAATAAAGTGATTGGTTATTTATATAATATGTAATCGTCGTGTGTTTAATTTTAATCTTGCAAGGTCGATGAGCTTCCGATTCTTTGTTTTACCTAAATGCTTCTCACTTAGTTCGCGGATTTACGCTTAGTTGACGGGGGCTAAATGACTGGATGATGCCATGTTCTTAACGGCAATGATGTCTAGTTTTTTGGTATACAAAAACACAAGGCCAATAGCATCAGCTTTTATAACACGTATTGTTTGGCAGATACGTGGATCATACGATCCGAAATCGATCGTTACTAAAGATCCTGTTTGTGAATGATCTACCACAGCACGGAACAAAGCAAAAAAGCTGATAATACTTTAATGTAATGTATCGATTATATTTTACATAAAAATTTACATGACACGTGATGCTTTGTTTCTTTAATCATTGACAATTAAAGTCGACTTTAGTGAGTGTGCATTAATGAAAGCTTGCTTCAATATGCGCGCGCAGTGCCGGCGTGACAGAATGCGCTCGCGACGGCGGGCCGTTCGCCGCATCGGGTTCTTTGGAAAATGGCAAGTTACGGGGAATTGAATCTAGACGTCATTGCTGTCAATGAAATATTATATCATATTCGATGCAAATTTAAAAATACTAAATCGGATTATATATTTTTCATGTTATATATAAAAAACTCAAGCCCGAAACAAAATTAGACAATTTCGGAAGCCGTAAGCCGTAAGCCATTAAGAAAGCAGTCTCGACTAGCTTCAGTGTCTAGTCTAGTCTATCTATATTCTTCACAGAATCTAAAAGCTGGAACCGTTATTGTAACACAAAAATCTTTCAAAAAAACATATAAACCGTTTCTATTTCACTTGCCGTAATCGTAATTTTTAGACGTGACGTTGATTTCATGGTTTCAATGAAATTTATCAACAATGGTCAACATTCGCGTACAATTATGTAACTAACAAACCGTGCAATTCTAAATGGTAAACGTTAATATCGATTCTTTTCAAACAATATACAACTTGTTCATCCTTTGTATATATAGTAAAGAGATATTATCGGGTAAAATAACATTTAGCGACAATCTTAAGGGAAAATATTTGTTGAATTAGCTAAGGTCGCATTGCTATTGGTTTCCGATGAAGGAAATTCTGGCTGCGTCTGTAAGAAACCTCCAAGCGTTCGCCGCATGAATAATAATATCAGAATATAGTCGAGTTGCGATGCCGGCCACAATGACCGATAAAAGAGAAACACACAAATATGGCCCCACTTGGAGTTCGTTTAAAATTCACACTCAATAGCACCTAGGCGCTTGGTACGCGGTGCCACCGAAAGGAATGTAGGTTATGATGTTACTTAGTTTGAGTTTTTGCCGCTTTTTTTGATTATTTTTTATATAATCGTTATCTTCTTTAACGTCAATCAATTTTGTATTAGATGTGAAAGTATTGACATCGTTGTGCCAATTTTACCTCTGATAAATTATGCCACTATTTTAACAATAAAAGTTATCACCCACGGCTGTCCTCAATTTTTTGCCTTGTAAGCCACAATTGACCGCTATACAGACGGTTTTAAAATGAATATATTCCTTAGAATCAGCCAGAGAGAAGGTGATAACCGGTTTATGGAATATTAGTAAAAATTATTTTAAAAAATTTTCACACAAACAAGAGTACTTAACGTTGAAACTATATCTTAATATCCAAATTAATGGAAAAGCCAATGTCTAACTATAATATATATATTGTTACATGTATGTGCATTCCGATGTTAAATATAGAATATAAATTTTCTAAGCTCTCCTTATATTGTGAGTTAAAAGTAATAGCTAATATATCCTCACAAAACGTATTCCCAAGTTAAATTTATATCGAAAAATAAATAACTTTATCTTTAAATGATGACCCTAAAATTTTAATTTTATATTTTAAGAGTGAAAAAACGTTTATCACAGCGACGCGCATCCAACAACCGAGCGCTTCGTTTAATACCTTTGTAAAGGGCTCTTCACTGCCCATGCTCATAGCACCCACACTCTAAATAACAAGACAAATAGTCATGTCCACTTTACCATTTACTGAGTAAAAATTCTCTTGTTTTGTGTGCATAGGTCTTTAACCAATTAGTATTTGTAGCCATATCTATATATAACTTTCTGTTAGTGAGGTGTGTCTGTTGCACTCTCTTCAAACTTTGTCTAGGACCTCGCACTCCGAGTCGAGAGTGGGGCGTGAGAGAATAAGGAGACTACTTAAAAGTGAATATGCATTGTTTGTGTTCAAATAAAAATGTTCGAATGTAACATTTTAAATTATTACTTCGGTACCATGAAAAGCGGACTCACAAATAAAACTTAAATTACATTGAAAAAAATAAAAAGTCCTCGAAGTGTACTGTAAAATAATATTGGCAGATGTGTTTTCGATAAATTTTTACCTTAATTCGTGACCTAAGTTTATAAAATACTGCAACAGTATCCTCATTAAACTTCATTATTTATTGGACCGATATTCATGTTGTCCCAAGTTACGAATTTATAAAAATCAATATGAGGAAGTAGCGATTCGTATGAAGAGAGAAGTAGTAACTTATAGAAAATTATTGATTTTGCAGTAAAGCACTAAAGCTACGGAATTTCAAATAGCAATTTAACAGCAACGGCTGGAACCTTATTATAGCAATCTACTTAAGTTGATCGTTGGTAAGACTTATTAATTTACTGTGCTTCCTGGTTTGGTACCTGAATGGCTCTTAAATTTTGGTGTTATAGCATCTTCACCTTGATAGATTTAATAAAACTTTTTGCTGTCTTTTTTCATAACATTTATAATAATATTAAAAATCATATTGTTTGAAATGTATTTTGATGATGTAGCTTATCACGATTAGACTTATAAAAAATACTGATTTTGGTACTCTTATAACTATAGAAGTGACGTAATCAGGGACGTTTCCTTAACGAATATTTTAACTATGATTCATAATTAAAATATCTTCTCAACACTTGTTTCTAATAGTTAAAGACAACATCGTTTTGGATTTCAAATTTCACAAAAACCCTTTACGGTGATCAGGTCTAAATTGCAACTTTCTGTTC